GAGAGAGAGAGAGAACATTATATATGTTACATGTTACTTTTGTATTAAGAGAAAGGAACACAGTACACTTTTCTCTTCAACTTTGTTGGCCTCTTTAAGCAATGCCTTTTTTTTTTTGCCTCTGCTTTCCCTGATTCCATCCATCCATCCATCCATCCATACTGGTGTGAGAATGGTGAGAATGATGTGCTTTTCTATAGTCAAATAGGCTGATCCATTTGCTTTCCTATCATGAGGGGGCCAGAGAGTCCTCAGGACCAACAGTAACTTTTACAAACACTTCTCTTGCTGTACATCATCACCACCTCAACCTGAGCCCCGTGTGCTTTCTTTTTTTCTACTATTCTGTGTCCTCAAGGAACCAAATGTCTAAATTAGAGTTACATCCCAGTGTGATAGTGCTTGCCTATAATCTTAGTACTCAAGAGGATCAGGCAGGAGAATCAACAAGAGAGGTCAGCCTGGGCTACATAGCCAGCCGTTGTCTCAAAAAAATAAATAAATAAATAAATCAAATAAAATTACATAGAAATCTAAAGTCTGAATTGTTTTGTGATGTTTTAATAACACAAATAATACATTTAGCCACAAAAATATAGGAAAATACAAAACCTTACAAAGCAATCTTACTGCTCAAGTATAAGCATCATTAACCAGATAGCATGCAGCATGAGTTAATAAGGTAATTTTAATAAAAATGAAATTTGAATTACTTTTAAAAAATGAGCATCATTAATATTTTAGTGCACTACAACCACATTTTTGGATATAAATAATTAGAAAATATTTTCTTTCATGTATATTACTAAAAGCAAAGAAAGATTCATGAATCAGATTGTCACTCAGAACCAGGGGACATTCAGGGAGTCCTGCCCCAGTGATCAAGAAGCTCGAAAGCCAATGAAAGTGGGACAAACATGGAATGAAGTAGAGAAATCACTGTATGGTTACTGGTCGAAGCCTGCCTTGCACAGGCAAACATGCAATATGGTATCTCCCTTATTTGGACCTGGTCTGATTAGTTGGCTAAATGTGACTGGCTGAAGCTTAGCTACTTCTGATTGGCTGAAATCTGGCTATATGTTATACTTGTTAAGTCAAGATCTGGTTTATTTACATACTAAGAATACAGTTGATTATCTAGGAAACCAAAGTACAGAAAGTCTTAGACAAATGGCCTCCTGCTTATTTAATTTAACAATACTGGGCCAGGGAGATAGTGCAGCAATCAAAGCAAAAAAAAAAAAAAAAGTCTAGAAAATATTTGTACATACACCCACATATCTGCACATACCAAAATATAAGTGTACAAAATATGCTTAACCAGAGATGTCTAATGGAACTTTCGACAGTGATAGAAAGGCTATACGTACGCATTATCTACTATAATAGCCACTACGATAGTACTTTGGGCAACTACTGAGCATTTCAAACAAAGCTAATAGACATTTTAGTTCATTTTAGTTCATTTAAATTTAAAAGGACACCTGTGGCTGCTGGCTACCATGTTGGCTAGTGCAGGTCTTGGGGTGGGACGTTTAAGCAACTCTGTATAAGATGCTGGCAACTGCAGTTGTTCCTGGAGAAGGGATTAATGTCCTTGGGAAGAATGGAGCTTTACATTGCATTTATATCTTCTGAATTTCTAGGTATTTGATTTTCATGAATCAGTGACAAGATGTAATAAATGTTTAGTGTTCCTTCACAAACTGCTAGGGAACAGAAGTAGTTGGATTTTGGATTTTTACCCCCAGGCTTTCGAATATTTGCAAAGACATAATGAGACACCTCAGAGATGGTGTCTAAGTCTAAACATTAAATCAGTATACACATAGTATTTTTTCCTCTCTGCTTTGAGCTAAATTTATTTTTTAATTTTTATTTTTACAAGTACATGTTTGGGGGAAGGGGAGATGGCTCAGTGGAATAAGTGCTTCCCTGGCAAGCGCAAGGGCCTGAATTCAATCCCTGGTTCCTAAAAAAAAAAAAAAAAAACGAGTACGTTTGCAGTATTTTATAATTACATATTTCATGAGGAGTTGGTACATATTCAGAACACATCTTAATTTTTTTTGTTTTGTTTTGTTTTTTCACTTATGTATTTAGTATCGGGTCTCACTACGTGGCTCCAACTCCTATGATCCTCCTGTTTTCAGTCTCCCCAGCACTGGGATTACACGCATGCACCACCACGCCCCCAAACTCAGTTATAGATGGCTCAGCCTGCCCCAGGGGCAGGGCCAGCTCAGCATGTGGGGCTTTTTTTTTTTTTTTAATGTACTTAGTACAGGCTCTATTGGGTCTCACAGATTGGATTTACAGTGATCCTCCTGTTTTCAGCCTCCCAAGCACTGGGATTACAGGCGCACACCACCATGCCCAGTCTCAATTGCCATCACAGGGCACCCCAGGGGCAGAGCCAGCACAGCACACTGGGTATCGAACCCCAGTCCCTGCATCTGCCTAAGCAGGTACTTTAATCCACTGAGCTATCTAGCTTGCCCTTTTTAATTGGTTTTATATCCCCTTCCCCTCCTCTTCTTCATCCTTCCTTCCATCCCCTAGCTCCTTGCTCTTTTCTGGGTTTTTTGTTTGTTTGTTTGTTTGTTTGTTTGTAGAACTGGGGATTAAACTCAGGCCTTTGTGCTTACTAGGGAAGCGCTTATTCCACTGAGCCATCTCCCCAGCCCCTCCCTTCACTTTTGAAAAATCTTTCTCTCTGTGTTTCCTATTATCTATCTTTTAATTTTGCTCTTTCATTTATTTATTCCTTACATAGTACACTTAGTGTGAAAGTAATTTTGTACAATATTTTTACATTTTGACTATGATGTTTCACATGAGGTCCCATCTGGGGTTGTCCACTTCTGGTGTCATGTGAACATTCCAAAAGTTTTGGATTTCAGAGCATTTTGAATTTTTGACTTTTCGCTGAGAGATGCTCAACCCACAGTGCTCACAGCAAGGCCACTGTGTATGATGACAGCCAAGCACTCCTTGGGAGACCTGTGTATACTGCCTGCCATGAGGGCTTCTTGCTTGACTCTCAACCTCAAAGCACCAAGTGTCAGTGGAAACAAGGCTGAGTGTTGTCATTGTCCACAGGGCGGCTCTTCGGGGAAGGGGACGATGCTGAATCAGACCTCCGATGTGGACATTATTGTGTTCCTGAGCTGCTTTTCCAGCTTCCAAGACCAGGCGATCCTCCGAGGATGTGTCATTGACTTCATTAAGGACAGACTGGATTGCTGTAGTGAAAGCCTGGCCTACAACATCACAGTGGTTCACTACAGACAGGGATCCAGAGAACCTCGCTCCCTAACCTTGCAGGTCCAGTCCAGGAAGAGTAGTGACGTCATTCGCATGGATGTGGTTCTGGCTTTCGATGCTCTGGGTAAAGACAGCAATGATAGGGGCCCTCTTACCAACCTGGCTTCAGGGTTTTGGGAAAGTGGAAACCAATGGAGTTTGCCCTTCTTCAGGGAGATGGGACTGGGGCTATCCTTTGAAGAATTAAGTCCTTCCAAAAATGTAGCCATGTCTCGGGCTTGCCTGGGAAAGATTTCTCCTAAATAATGAATTTCTACCCAACCTAAGGAGGAAACACCTCCCCAACTCTGGGCCAAGCAAGGACTTCAAGGTCTTCGGGATCATGTTAAGTTAGATTCTACATCTTTAAAACGGGTTTTTTTTTCACTAGGAATTGTGAAACTCAAGGTCTTCACACTGAGCTACATCCCATCCCTTTTTTGTTGGGAGGGGAAGATGGCCAAAGTCTAACTAAGTCACTAAATTGTTCAGGCTGAGCTCAAACTTTCTTTTTTTTTCTTTTTAAAAATT